TTACAAAGGTCTCCTCACTTGTTTTTTTATTTCATAATTGGGTTCTGTTAGTAATTGAAACAAAACCTTTTCTTCTATGTAGATTCCTCCCCATTTTTTCCTCACAAAAGATGATTTATGGAATTTTTTATGTTTAGTTCTTTCATAAAAGAGACTATGGGCACACTAGTCTTGTTTACTAAGGGTAAACATCTTAATCACTTCATTATAAACTTGATTTTTAACAAATGCATTTGGGGTTCTTGCAGAGTATCATGTAATGCTATTTTAAGCATTTATAGACTAAGTATAGGGCCTTTTTTCTACTTACAGTGAAAGCAATGCCATAGCCTTAAGTGAGAGCAAGATTGGGTGCTTAATTTGCAATCCTTAAGGCACTGAACAGATTTTCCTTTAACATCAGTAGTGTTTCCAACATAGTGTGAGTTAATGTACAGACTTTTCTTTTTTTTAAATGAAGCCACTCTTGCTTACATGATTACAAAATACGTAGCAGGAATGCTGCAAATAAAAACAGTTTAGGACCAAGCCTACACATTTACTCGCATAAGTAATCCCAAACTGGGCCTTGGGTAGGAGATCATTGAGGAGGTAGAGAGAGGAGATTTCATTTACTCTTCTGAGCTTTGCAGCCCTGTTTGTTTTGGCAAGGGGCTATGTATGATGCAACAATGCCAAGAGTCTGAGTAATGTCCAGACCTCCCATCTGTGTAGACCATTCCACTCACTCACTGCACAGCAACAGGAAAGCAATTTTAGAGCCTGAGATGCAACACCCTCTCTCCTACAGAGATAGAGGAAGATTTGTATATGGATGGTTCTGCACATGTTGGGGAGATAAAATATTATGGGCAATTATTTGGACTGGAGGGCTACTTAAGGAGTTTCCATGAGCTGTTGTGGTCTGGGGAGGGCTGCTGACTCAGCCTGGCACAGGGGAGGGTGCTGATGCGGCCTGACATGGCAGGTGGTGCTGATGCGATGCGGCATGGGATGGTACTGATCAGCACAGTGGGATGGGTGCTGATGTGGCCTGGCATAGTGGGGAAGGGGAGCAATTGGACCTATCCTGCCTCAGGCCATCTGCCCTGCATCCACAGCCAGGAGCACCAGGTGGAGTGGGCAGGTGGGCAGGGTCTCCATGGAGACCAGCCCAGGACCCCCATGAGCAGGGTGTGCTTGGGCAGGTGCATGGGATGGGGCTGCAGCTGGGCAGAGAGTCCAGGAGCAGGACAGGCAGGCAGGGCTGGGGCTAGGGCCAGGATTGTGGGGCAGTGATAATTTGATCTGTTCCCTGCATGTCCCTGCCTGCAGAACTGGCACCCATCACAGGGACACGGAGCAGATTGTGAATGTGCCCTAGGCCCTGGCCCCACCTCATGATCCTGGCCCCAGCCACATCCCTGCCTGCCCATCAAGCTCCTGGATGCTGCTCTCCGTTCACCTGCAGCCCCATCCTATCCACCTGGCGAAGTATGCCCTGCCCATGTGCTCCCTCTGGTGCTCCCAGTGGTGGGTGGCTCAGGCAGGATAGGACTAATTCCTCCGCTCCCCCCACCACCCGTGCCAGGCTCAACCCTCCCCAGTATGCTGAGCTGGGTCAGTACCACCCCATGTCATGTTGATCAGCTCCCCCATCCATGTTGGGCCATATCAGCATCCTCCCCAATGCCGGGCTAGGTCAGCAGCCCTCCCCAGACCACAGCAGCTCATGGAAACTCCTTAAGTGGCCGGGGTCTGGGGCACAGTTGTGATCTTCTCCCTGCATATCCCTGTGATGGATGCTGGTTCTGTGGGAAGGGACATGCAGAGAGCAAATTGTGGCTCTACCCCATGATCCCAGCCCTGGCCCTGGCCCTGGCCCAGGCCGTGCCTGCCTGTCCCACTTCCTGATGCCACACTCCCTGCCTGCTCAGTCAGCCCCATCCCATCTGCCTGACTGAGCATGCCCTGCCTGCGGGTGTCCCGGGCAGGTCTCCGTGGAGACCCCGCCTGCCCACCCACTCCATCCAGCACCCCCAGCAGTGGGCACAGGGTGGACTGGCAGCAGCAGCTGGGCAGAGTGAACCACCACTGTGGCGCCTGAGGGGAAGCCCAGCCCAACCACCATGCTAACCCTGTCCCGCTGCATGCCTGGGGACAGCCACATGCACCACAGCCTGGGCTGCCCTCATGCCTAAGCTGGGCAGGGCCAAAGGACCCACCATGGGCTGGATAAAATCCCTCGGTGGGCTGGATCTGGCCATATTTGCCCACCCCTGAAACAGACCATGGTGCAGGTATAGCTGGCAGACAAAAAGCGTTGCCTTAAACCAGCCTGGTATAGGTGCCATCAAGTTTTACCATGGATCTACCAATACCAGTGTGCTAGCAAAACGCCAGCACTCCCAGTCTAGGACTTCAGATCTGGGAAACTGCATATTGGTTTTATGATGACATCAAAACACATCTACTAGTAAACAAGAGAAGCCTTATTTTGGCTGGTTCCAGCCTGTGTTTCCATTGGATACTTCTAGCCACCTAAGCTTCATTATAGTGGCATATTTACAAACAATTTATAAGTAATCATAATAATTTGCTCCTGAGCAAAATTCTTGAAAGTTATCTTTTAGTCGTTAGCATTTTTTAAAAGTCAGATGAAACCCTTGCCAGTTCTAACAGCTTTTTAACTAAACCAGTGGCTGTATGCATGTGTCCAAAAAGTGCCTTGCAGCGAGAGAACAATACATGCATTCATATTCATATTCAAGTGCTGTGATTATATGCAAGGGTGTAGACATAATGTTGCTGTGGAAACCTCAACTCAGAATTTCTTGACCTTTTAAGTGAATAAATACCAAGTGTAAACTGGCACGAATGAATTAGTCGAAGATGAAGACAATTAAAGCCTGGGGTCCAGATATTACTAAGCATGGTGGTGTCTGTTCTCAGTATTTCTGATGACAGTAGTTAAGCTTATCTGATCAGTAATTTGAGCTTCTCTTTCTAAATCAAAGATTAAAAGATTTAACCCAGTTTTGGTGTTTTCACTCAGTTAAGGACAATGGTTATACACTGGCCTGGGATGAGACAGTGCTTGTGTTGGGGATGCCTGAGAAGAGCACACACCAACTGCAGATGCTTCCTCAGCCTGATGAAGGGGATTTATACCCGAAAGCTTGCATAAAAAGAATTTTTCCAATGATTTGAGTTGGTCTAATAAAAGATATCAGATTTACCAAAATAAATTTGTCTGCCTATGTCCTTACACCAACACAGCGACAACCAACACCCCTGGAAAAGGAAGGTGCATTGAAGTGAACCACACCTTGGTCTCTCTGACTCCCTCCAGGGATCTAGTTATAGTAAAGGGATGAGGAAAGACAGACAGGTTGTAGAGCCCAGAATAAGACTTCCTACAAGAAAAAAACATCTACAGGGAAGGCAGACAACTAGAGAGAGTGGAATCTCCTGCTACAGAGAGAAGTTGCCAAAGAAAGGATGTGTGTTTAATCAGACAGCCCTAGACACTGTAAAATATTAAGGCAATTTAAAAACAGTTTGTTTTTTTTGGGGGGGGGAGGGGGAGGGATAGAAAAAAAAAAGGAGAGAGACAAACATGCAAACTGATGGCTATTGTGACAGAAGGAAGAAATCAGGGATTACTTACACATAGGCAGACAAGGTTCTTTGGGTAGATGTGATATCTTTTATGAAACCAACTAAATAGCTGGAAAAATTGTCCTTTGCAAGCTTTCGGGCACAAACACCCTTCTTCAGGCATGGGGAGAGTCTGGT